ACCTTGCCCAGCTCAGTCCAACAAAAAAAAAAAATACCAACCGAAAAACCAAAAAAAGTAAAAACAAGAAAAGCACAACAACAGGGCCCATAAAGTAGTCCCCAACACCGACAGATAGACAGACAAAGTTGGCCAGAACGGAAAGACAGTTGCGAGGAGCCTTCGCTTCGCTTCGACTGTGGAAAACCCTCGTTCAGTTTTCCCACCCAATGCCCTGTGTCTTTCCACATTTTCTAGTGGCTGCGACTTTTTGGTGTTAACTTTAAATTAGCAGCAAAGTGGAAAGTGTTGTCGGTTGGCTTTTAAAATGTTTTGCGGTGTATTTTATTTATCACGAAGTAGATCTGGTGTGGCAATTGCCAGCCAACCGCCAGCACCGCTGTCCACCTTGTCTCGCCTGTCATTTGTCTGTCTTGGCCATGTTATAAAATAATGTGTAAATGTCCCTTGCCATTTTTTGTTTTTTTTTTTTTTGTTTCGTTTATTCTGGCACTCTTCCTTTTTTTGTTTTTCGCCTTTTTTTGTTTTAATTTACTTAATGTGCTGCCCGGGTCCTTTTATGATGCCTTCTTGGGGACTATTTTTTCCGGCTTCATTTTTTTTGTCCCTTCGTTGCTCATCTTATATTTTTTTGTTGTTGTTGTTGTCCCCCGTTTGGGCTCATTTACCTTGAGAGTTGAGAGTGTCCTCCATCTTATCATTAATGTGTGTGCTTACTTCCTTAATTAGTGCCAGATACTTGCCCAAAAAAAGTATTGGGGAAAGGCAATAAAATACAGAAAAGTTTCCCCCAGAAATATAACTTGTAAAATATATAGAATATAAAACAAAAGGTGAAGAGATATGCTAATTTATGCACTTGATAAATATTTAATGGAATTTCTCATGGGTAAAATTGGTGGAATATGAAAATTTGTACTTAGATTACAAAGTTTTTAATGGCCAATTAAACGTTTTAAAGGGCTTTGACCATTAATTAAAACTTTGGGCAAAAAGAGTTTTATTAAACAGTTTATTGGGTTTTTCTGATCTAATTGTTTATTATTATAACATTTGTTTTATAAGGAGTCGTTAATTAAAGTTGTTTTAAATATTTATACAAACTTGTATTTGATTATTTATACAGTCTGGAACTTGGAATCTTATTTTATTTTTAACAAGTTAAAAAAGGTTTCCATGAATTTAAGCAAGGCCCTATAAATAATAGTTTTAAGGCTTAATTTTTCTTGTTTTCTGATTGTTCTTTGTTGTTGCTAAATTTTAGGGCAAATTTCAATTATTTTGCTGGTCAATTTTCAGTAATATCATGGCTAATTCACCTAATTAAATTTGTACTAAAAAATCTCGCACGTCTGCGCATATAATTCCCAACTGGTTTTAACATCTCTGTAATGAAGCCACGGCTGGCCGGCCAACTTTTAGATACGTTTGTGTGTGTGATTACAATAGTGGAAAGTGCTTGCTGTTTATAGTTAATTACCCTAAAAGTAACTTAATTAAACATACATATAAACATGTTAATTTCATATTTATGAATAAGTAACTTCATGAGGTACTTTCTTATAAATTCAAACTTAGTTTACCTATTGTAATTAATGTAATCTCTATAACTTGCAAAGGTTAAACTCATTTATTATTATTCTTCAAGTTATCTCTTACCCTCCATTACCTTTGAGACACAATTAGAAGTTTCTCCGAAAAACCGCTCAAGATTTGCTTCCAACATTTGCCACTAAATCGCAATTACTCTGAATTGCTGGCAAATTGAATTAATTAGGATTTTACACATTCCGCTTGAGAGCCTAACATTTTTGACTCCCAATTTAAATTGGGTTTTCGGTTTCGCTCTTTCGCAACATTGTCTCCCAAGAAAATTTAATTAAAACAAGCGCAACTAAGCGCACCATTTACCGCCCTTGAGTCAAAAACGTATACGTAATTTCATTAACAATTATGGCCCGGGCGTTGCGCATCTTCCATCATAACCCTTGGCGGATGCGGTGGTAAGATTGGATTGATGTGTGCCACTTGACATGCCAAGAAGTTGAAGGAGGAACCAGGCATCGTAAAAAAAAGAGAGATTCTTGCTCCTCTTTTTTTGGGGGGAGTGTGGAGCGACTCTGTCTGTGGCAGCTCCTTCGCTGTTGTGCTAATAAAATCAAAACTGATTACCACATCATCTTCAACGAGCAGAGAGCAGAGAGCAGAGAGGAGCGTAACGCTTGGAATCGAAGCATGCATATCATATTACTCATACGCCACGTTATACAATTTACTTACATCGTCAACGAGCAGAACGTTGACAGCGAACCAAGACGAGGCGAGATGAGGCGGTAGTTGTGGCCCAGATGAAGACAAATAGATGGTAGAGAGGCAAATGCACTGGGAGAAAAAATTAGGGCTTTACTTACAGTAGAAAAACTTGTATGGTTTAAAACAAATCAAGTCAAAGAAAGGTGTTATCTAGTATAGTTTCTTAAAGGTTAAAGATATCAAATGCATAGAGACTTGCTTGCGATTTCTTCTAGATTTTTCCCAGTGTACTTGTGCACATGTGTATGTGTATGTGTGTGTATGTCAACAGGATGTGCGTGCCTGGATGAGTGCGCAAAAATGGCAACGGCAAAGAGCAAAAGCCAAGAGCCAAAAGCAAAAACAATTAATTGAGTGGGTGGCAAAGCGACACCAACGATGGTGCCATGCTACAAGGGGCAAGTACGCTATGCTATACCAGCGGCAGCCAAGTGCAGCGAAAGATAAATCGTTTTGCAATAGCGCTATAATTTAATCAAATTTGTCACTTTTGCAATTGAGCAAGTATCTCGCGTGCGCGCACAGAAGAGATCCACCTCCATTTCTAGCTCTTGCTCTTGCTCTTGCTCTAGTGGAATTTATGAATGGAATTTGCAGGCGCAGCCATGGACAAAGGGAGCTGCAATGCTATCCACCCACCGGCTACCACTACACCTGCACAGGTAACTCAATCTTTGCGTCACGGGTGGCAAGTGCGTGCCCGGGCATCGCGTTCGCACTTTGTAAATTCAATTTGAAATGCGCTTGATGCGCACAAAGGCGCAGGTACAAGCCCACCTTGCTTGCACCTTATGCTCACGGATGGGGAACCCCCGGCTACCTCACCTCCCTCTCCAACCTCACCTGGGTTGATACCCTACAAGTGCCGTTGAACGGTGATGGCCAAACAAATGCCAGAGCCAAGCTAAGCGGTTTGTCAGCGCAAATGGGGGTCGCGTTTAAAAGGGGCTGTAGAGGGGTAGAGTGTAAACGTCATTGATGACGACCCTTAAACCCCACCTTCCCACCGATTAGGTGAATCGATTAACTGGTCTTGTAATTGAATACAAGTACCAGAGCCATACGCACTTTCCTTTTTTTGCAGTGCAGTTTACGCAATTTGTTGTTGCCATTACCCTGTGGAATGGTCGCTAAAGCTGCCAACAAATTCTCAGTTACGCGCTCACGTTCACAGGACACTCACTCACACACACACAAATGTGAAAGCAAACACTGCCACCAAACACACACACACATATAGCATACACACACACTCTGATACACAGATACAATCAGCTCGAGCACCTTTCACAGAATGCACGAACCAATTTCAACAAATCTAGAAACTCCCCTTTTGTACACTGCAGAAATCCTGAGGGAACAATACTCGAAACTGATGTGTCTGAAAAGGGATGCTGGGAATCATTAATTTAAAAATCTGACAAAACACTGGTATGAAAATATTTCAAAAGACATTGCAAATTTAAGAAAACTTAAGCAATGTAAATATCTTATAATTGATTCTGCAAAGAGGATAAGTAAGGAGTTATGTATAATCTTTTTATATATTGTTTTATAGGAATAAATATTTGTTGAATTTTAACTATTTCTGTTTCAAGGAGTAAAATAAATAAGCCATTAAATATATATTTATTAAACTAATACAAAATATATTAGTATACAAATCTGAGGTTTATCTATTTCTACTTATGATGAAATATCTAAGCTTATTATAAGGCATTCAAAATAGTTCTCAGAAATCTTTGTTTCGTAAATTTTATGTACACTTAATATTCTTTGGAAATATTATTAAATTAAACCTAACAAATCACTATAAAAAAGAATGCCAGAAATACCCCTACTTCCCTAAGACACGTTAAACTTTATAACAAAGTTACTTACATTTCAATGAACTTACAATTAAATTAACTTTTATTAAATCCGAGAACTCAATGAACTAAATATTTTACCTCCCCTCTAAGTTAATTAAAGGAACTCTGTATTCTCAAGTTTGGAAAACATTTTTCCTTGTGTAACCTGCCACTGCAATGTTAAACATTTTATCAACGCTGTGCAAAAAAAAAAAGAGGAAACGCAGAGGGACGAAGAGCAAAAAACTCGTTCGAATTTTTAAACAAAAATCCGAAAACGTTGGCCATAAGCGAACAGGTAACCAAACCAGGCATCCCACGGCATGCGGGAAAGCGGTGAGGAAGGGGAAAGTGAAAACGGGGAAATGTGAATGAAAGGAAGGGGGGTGAGACGCTTTTCGAGGGGTTTTGTGAATGTTATTTTTCAAACATCAAATGTTCTGGCAACGTTGACGTCAACACGGGGTCCAAGGTAAAAGTGACGCTACTTTCAGCTGTTTGTGCTACCTTCCTTCGTTCCTTCCTTCCATCCACCTGTCCAAACGGTTCCCAATTGGCTGCATTTCCCAGGTCAGCCATCTGCCACTCCCCGCCGACATTTCCATTGCCTTTCCCGGCCCACCCACTCGGCTTTTCCCATAGTTGCCACTGGCGTTTTCACCTCTCAACTTGGCCATTTATTGCAATATCAAAAATGCTTGCCTTCTGCCGTTGAAAATGATTGAAAAATATTCGCATTCAGTCTTTAAAGTTTGTCCAACGATTTTTGTTTGATTTTATTTTAAAACAGGTGTACTTCTTTTGTAAACATTTGTGTTTGCTTTTTGTATTTTGCAGGTGATCCTACAAGGAATAATGCTCAGGCTTTGGCTGGTCCATATAATAACGATATGTGTGCTATTAACTAATGTTAAGTCTGGTGTGCCTATTGGTAAGTGTGGATTAAAATAATATAACGTAATATAATAACAGATTAATAATAATAATCATTAATACATATTGAAAGTTTACTTCATTTAAAAAAGAATTCCTATTTATTTATATTTTATTCTTCTTGCTTGAATATCAAATATCTTGCTTCATTTATAATATTTATAATTATATGCTTAAACATTCTAAATTTTAATTCATTTATTTCGATACAGGAACCGGCGGACCATCAATTATTTTGGAGAGCAAAGATGCTTTATTAACCTGCGTAGTGTCCGATAATTCCTCAAATAACACAGTAATATGGAAAAAGGGTGACGAGATCCTTACCGCGGGCACAGTCCGGGTTACAAAGGATCATCGGGTGCGAATTCTCCACGATGAAAGTGAGTTGTATAATTTAATATTTGTTGTTTATAATAATTGGGGAATATTTCTACACAGATCCCAAGGGAAAGAATCTGGAGACGGGCGGTGAGGTGTGGGTGCTTTTGATTAAAACCCTCAAGCCCAGCGATTCGGGGGCGTATATATGCGAGCTTAACTCTGATCCTGTGCTGCGCAGCATACACATACTGACAGGTGAGTAGAAACTAAAAATAATTAAATAGAAATGATTAATTGGAAGGTTTTAATACATTTTATTCAACAAAGTTAAAAAGAAATCATAAAAAACCTAACAAAATCAAAAAGATACCCTTATTTGTGCTTCCATTTTCATACTTCCCTCCATGTTTTTCTCTCTCTGTACATGACAATTAATTTCCTTCCTTGACAGTCAAGGAGCTGCACTCGTCAACGGGTGGTCCGAGCAATTCCACGGACACCTCCACCGCGGAATCGAGTGATGTGTTCCTGCTGCCACCGCCGCTGGACGCGCAGGACAATCGCAGCTTCTGGCGGCCAAGTCAAGTGCCGCCGCTGGTCACTCACGATTTCACGGAATGCTGCGAGCGGGCCAATGTTTCGGCCCAGTGCATGGGCTTCTGCAACGTGCACAATATCCTGGACGGGACCACTGGCGTCGATCCCGAGGCCTGCGAACGGGACTTCCCCGGCATTGTGCGTTGCATGGCCGATGGCCGCAATCATGTGCCCTGCTGTGTGGAGAAGCAGATTCCGGATTTGTGCCAGGACATGTGTCGCGGCGAGTACACTCCGTTCACGGACAAACTGAAGACGCGCGTCTCCTGTGTCCAGCACACGCTGAGCGGTCTGCAGTGCATCCTGAAGGGTGTCCAGCTGATACCCAGTTCGCCCACCTTCCTCACCATCGAGAATGTGAGCGAGACGAGCGTGAGTGTGGGCTGGACGGCTCCGGAGAAGCTGGCCGAGCGTGTCTCCGGCTACACCATCAACGTGACCAAGTTGCACAGCTTCGATGAGGATGAGCTGAGTGGTGAGATCATTCACCGAACGGCAGCCGATACCGCCGAGTCTGTGGAGCTTCACACTGTTCCCGCGAATCAAACGCAGTTGGTTTTGAGTAACCTAACACCGCTGGCTATGTACGCTGTCATTGTTACGGCCACGAATGAGTATGGAACGAGTTTGCCCAGCGAAAGGTTGAGATTCTTTACACATACCAGTGCCTCGGCGGCGGAATCAAGAGCTGGAACCACGGACAAGCAGGCGATGCCCCAAATACCAGACACTCGGCAGTGTTGCGAGGATAATGGTATGACCCATCGGATGTGTCTGGATAAAATGTGTGATCCACAAAAGACCGATCAGGCCACGTTGCCTGATTTTATGGTGTGTGCTCCATGGTCGAATATTACCTTCAATTGTTTGGCCAACAATATTGATCATACGCCCTGTTGTCGAGCGAGAGGAATACCTTCGGCCTGCTTTCCACTGTGTGCTGGCAAGCTGCAATCGTTGGACTTTAGTTTGTTCAAGTAAGTTCAATCAATTTAAGTTCAATCTAAATCTAAATTATTATGATTTCTTTCTGTAAATTCTGTAATTCTTAAATCCCAATTACCATTTACCTTACCCAACACTCTTTGAATTGCTGCTTCCCCCAGTTCAGGACTTAAATTATAATCAATAATTATCGATGCGCAGGAGTAGCTCCTAGTTACCCTGTTAATCACTTCCCCTAAGCGCATCCTTATCACTCGTCCTTGTCCAGGAAATCCATAGGCCGTTAAGCCCTAATATCAAACCCGTGGCCATACCAACCGCACACTCCCCCCGAAAAAACACACAATGCTACTTGCTAATGACTCCGCAGGATGGGTTTTTATGCCGAATGCCAATTACCAAAGTCTCCCTTTCTCGTTTTTTTTTTCTTCCTTCAGATGCCTGCGCTTCATGCCCGAGTACAACAGCTGTCTGTTCCAGGGATACGGAGTTCTGGCCGATCCGCCATCCAAGCTCCGGACGGTGGCCAAGACGGACAGCTTTGTGATTCTGGACTGGAACAAGCCGAAGCGTCTGGCCGACACCGTCAGCACATATCACGTCAAGTTCCGACGTTTGGGCGTTGGCGATGACTATCTGAGCGTGGAGAAGGTATTACACGGGGAGAAATTTGGGGGATGATAAGAGAAGTTGAAGCATTTAGAATGTGTAAAGTAACAGAAGGAGTGTGTTAATTGATTTTAACAAACTCTCTCTGAATTCTAGATGCTTAATCTGTATTAGTTTTCCTCTCAGTGGAGTAATCTCCTCCGCCATGTGACCACTTCTTTCCCCATCCCGATCCCACTTCTTTGGCTAATTCATTAAGCTTTTGCAGCGCCAGCCACCGCTGATTCTCGAGGGTCTCGAGGCGGACATCTACTACGAGTTCTACGTGGTCTCTGTGAATGCGTACGGGAAAAGTGAGGCTTCGCCGCGCCTCATCACCCGCACCCTGCCAGCGGAACCGGTCCAGCCAATGGCCTCCAGATACAACATGACAACCTGCTGCCAGGCCTCCGGATTGCTGCCCCAATGTGCTCCTCTCTGCTCCTACAACATCCGCCTGTCCGATATCGAGCGGTTGGGTCCAGCCTGTCGAGCCCAAATGCGTGAGTAACAGCTGGAGATGAGAGACGCTCCATGAGGAGAGAGGGAGAACGATTTTTAGGGGCTTCCCCTGTTGGATACACAGTCGACCATGGGAAAACACTAATTAGCGGCTGGATAGAGACAGCAGCAGCAGCCATTGTCCTATGGACTTTTGTTAATTTAATGAGCCCATTTTGCATTTTTCGTTCCGTCTGGGCAATGCAATTTCGAATATTAAGTGAGGCCTTCGCGCGCCAGCTCATTCAAGCATAATGAATTTTTGTACTTATGCAAATCAATTTTTAGTTAATTAGTAGCAGCAAACAATCCCAATGAAAACAGGCAGCCCCCCAGTCCCGTTGGGTGTGTTTGATGTTGGCTAAATGCATGGGAATTTACCAAAATGGTTTCATCACCAAAAAGCCTGTCCGTCTGTCCGTCTGTCCGTTTGGCATGAGGGCCTCCAGTGTGTTTCCAGTGTTTGTCCCTGGCTTATGTAATTTGGGAGGCAGAAACCAGGAGCCACTAGCCACTGTGTAACGTTGTTTGGCAAAGCGTTAGTCAGAATAAACAAAGGGCTTCTCAAAATGATACCAAAGTGTACGTAAAGTTTCCGAATATACATAGATATTAAATGGCAAATGGTTATTATGCAGTAATTATAACATCAGCTTGATCAACTTACTTTATTAAAAGGAAGAACTTAATGTTGATTACTCTTAGACTTTAATTATTTTACTTTAGGTATTATTAACTGAATTGGTTTTATATTACATTCTTTATTGATGGTTTTTAAAGTACTACAAATTAATTTCTTTCTTCTTTAGACCTTTTCCTATATTGATATTTAAAATTCTTTAACAAATAAAACCCATAATGTTAGCTTTCAATCAAAAAAACATTCTTAAGCAAAAATTCCAAGAAAACCAGACAAACATAAGGCTTTAAATAGAAATGAAATATTGATTTTAATGAAATCAAAGCGCATCGCAAATTTCTGATTTCATAGAAATTTTACATTAACTTGATTTTTTTTATATGTTCCATCGCAAAACACTTAGCAACCAAAGAAAACAGCCAAGTCATGCTCTTAAAAAAAACACCATGAATTCAATGCCAACACGATGACTTCACATCAATTTTGGCCCTAATTTAACCGTCACCTAGTCAATGATAGGAAATCTTTTGGTTAATTTCCTGTAAATTGCTACCATGTTGTCGACTCACTCCGTATCCTTTAAATTATCATCTCAACTGGAGTGGCATCGGGCCAAAATTGATGAGTTCATGTCACAAATTGCTCCATAACAGAGCACAATGAGCCGTACCATATCTAGGGATGCAAACAGGGGGTTTTTTGGGGGCAGAGAGAGGGAGCGTGAGTTTATGCAAATTTTAGCCACAATATTAACCATTCCCATCCCTGACCATCTCTCCCGTTCTAATCCGCAGCAATCCTGGCCAGATGTGCTGCCGGGGGACGTGATCATAGTCCGTGCTGCAGTCGCCGCGGCGTCATTAACGCCTGCATGCCCCTCTGCCGTGGCGTAATGCCCCTCGCCCTGACCACCAAATCGGCAACGGGAGCATCATCGGGAGCAACATCTGCGGCAACGCCATCCTCATCATTGTCCTCATCGTCATCGTCGTCGTCGAGCAATGTGCCCGATTGTTTATCATATGCCGGCAACATTCTGCAGTGCTTCGAAGAAGGTGAGTGAGTAGTTACCATGGCAGCCCCACTTCTGGTTTCCGTTCCCATCCCATTGTGTCCTCTTCCGTTCCTGCCTCCTTCCGTTGTCTCACTCCGTCAGCGCTGTGCTGCGGTTTTGAGACTGAACCAAGTTGTGACTGCCAGTGAATGAAAATCAGCTCATTTCAATTTTTGACGAAGATAAATCCCATTCAATTCGCTCTTAATTAGGCGAGTTGCATTAGCTTCACAGGGGGAAATAGAATAGGAAAACAGAAAGAGTAGCCATCAATCTTTGAGGTAGTTCAGTTTAAAAATTTAATTTTTCTGGAGAAAATCTGCATAATTATTAATATTAATATTATTTAAAATACTATCTAAAACACTTAATTAAATACTTAATTAAATAGTTTCCAAAATACTTAAGAAACTACTCTTTAAAATAAAAAATGAATCCTACATAAGATAGTTCCAAACATTCTTAAGAAAATACTCTTCAAAATACTTTTTTCAAAATACATTCTTAAGAAACTACTCTTCAAAATACTTTGTTAAATCATTCTCTATAAAATATATATTAAAGTACTTATTTTTCATTCAAATAATTCTAATTAATAATAATAATAATTTTCTCAAATTTAAATGCCTTATTTTGAAATTAAAATTAAATAAAATCAATTACAGAAAGATCTTTTAATATTCCCCAATATTCACACTCTTTCTTATAATATTTCTTTATCAATTTCTACATACATTTAAAAGTTAATAAAACAAATTATTTAAATCAGATTTCAATTAACTTTTCCTCTAAATAACCCCTGGTTTTTGTTCAATTTAAATTTAAATTGAATTAAAGTGTAAGAAAGCTTCTGCTTTTTGGTATTATCCTTCATCGTAAATCATTCACCATAAATCAGTGTTGCAGCAGTCACTGTTGGAGGTCACAGTCACTGGAGGCCATCACCGAGGACACCGAGATAGTTGCATCACTGGTCACACCCTGTGGTGCATCCATCTGTGTGTGTCTTTGCCGTTGCCGTTGCCATTGCCGCTGGCTTTGGTTTTGGCCAGGCTTGTGTTTGCAGCTAATTCTGTTTGTTTAATTGCGTGTCTGTGCACGTCGAGTATACGCACTGTTGCACGCCATTGTGCGCTAAATTATTTGGTCAATGCTTTGGGCCAACCAACCACACACACAGACAGAGAGCCCGAGCAGACTAAAACCAATATTGGCCAATTAAAGTTGCATTATAAAACAAAACAAAGCGTTACTATATTACGTATATTTCCTCCATTGAAACAGGCACACAGAATATACCAGGACCACCGGAAGATGTGCATGCGACATTTGTGAACCAGAGCAGCATCAGCTTGGTCTGGACCCAACCGGATGCGGATGGTGCTGGTGCTGGTTCGGGTAACAGTAGTGGTGGTTCAGGTGCTGTTGCAACTGGAAATGCATCGCCAGGTGACATGATAACCGGCGATGAACTGGCAGCCGGTGCCGTGGATTCAACAAATGGGAATCCGGCCGTCGCTGGAAGGGATATGCCATCGTCGTCGTCGGTGGATGCCACAAGTGGAACGACAACTGGAACGGAGGATATTGAATTCATCGTACAATATGGCAAAGTCAATAACATGACCATGTACGAGACAGTTGCCAAATTGGAAAATGTGAGTATATATCGGGGGACAATGCTAGCGACTCTATCTGGGTAAAAAGTTTTCCACAGCGAAACTAAACTCGCCTTCTTTCCAATCCTCCCTTTTGATTCTCTCTCCACCTGTGAGTTGGTAGGGAAAAGTTTTCTTTTTTCTCTTACTGCTGGGCAGGCTCAGGACTCTGGACTCTGGACTCTGGACTCGGAACTCAAATTCAAACTCGAACTCAGATTCAGATTCAGATTCACACACACAATGGGGCACTTCATTTGCATTGGGGACTGCGGGCGGTCGCCTTATTACGATTTGCCTTTTGGGCCAAAATGCTGACATTATATATATTCGAGTGCCAATGGAATTGAAAAGAGCTTACAAATTGCCTTGTCTGAGTACGCCAGAGACCAGGGGCGACAGGGGATCCAGGAGCCAACGGCAGCAGTCAGGACAATAACCATTTCAACAACTTTCCGTCGGAGGGAAGAACTTAAATTGGTAGCACAGTTAATGAAGAAGTTCGGAGGACAGGAAATTGCTTTCATAACAACCAGTCATATTAGCAGATATTGTGGTCGTATAAGTAACCTATGAAACCAGGCCTAATTGTTCAACTTCCTTATCGCAGATCAGCATCTGTCATAGAGGAAGTTGTAGTTGAGAATTTGGAGAGGAAATATTTAGAAACGAACTAGAAATATGAGAAAATATCTGTTCTTTTACCTTCCTGGAAATGTATAAAAGTTATATCATGTATATAAAAACTCCAAAGTTTCAGAACCTTTCACACAACAACTTTATATATTTCTGTTTATAATTGAAAGAGTTGGTCATAAAAAAAAGCCAGTAGATTCCATTAAAGTTTACCCATAAAAAGTAGTTTTCAAAACACTTTTTCCTCTCCAGTTTTCAACAATTTTTCTGTTATTTATTATTTTCCATGAATTCTTATATACACATTGGTGTAAAGGTTATTATTATAATCAACTTTTTCAACGTTAGTTTAAATTTCAAATAATTTCTGCCAAACAATTCATAAAAGCTTTTTGCCCAATGCATACAGGGCGTATGAGTAATGCTTGCAGTTAAGCCAATTATTCAATTATTTATTTAAATCCTTCGCCAACGGCTAAATCTCACTAAATGCATATATCGATGGCCATTGTTTATACAGCGAATGAAATCAATTGAAATTCCCGCCAACGCCGTCACATCGAATTTCAAGTGCATACGGTTTAAATATATATCTACGGTATATATAAAAATATATATATTTTAGATATACTCAAACACCAGGCGAATATTTTGTTGGTTTGCCCAACTCTAATCCAATTCAGTGTTATAATCTTTGAACTCTGTCCAAAACATCGACCAGGTTTAGATATATAGCTTGTGTATATGTATATATATCTTTGTGTGTGTGTCGAGCTATGGCTAAAGTTTTTGACGCCTTTTCAGGGGGAAACGCGTCCGATGGGAGGGGCAGGGGGACTTGTAGCCGCCATATGCATTGGCAACGGCCAAAACGTGACTATAAACTGCTAAAAATTGCAGGCGGTCCAAAAAGAAACGAAAGAGAGAAAAAAATTGGCTAAAAAAAAGACGTATAAAGAGTAACCAAAACCAAACAACGGGCCAAAAGTTGGCTCAGGCTTTGCCATTGGCATTGTTGTAATTTGCTGTTGTTGTTGTTGTTGTAGTTTTTGTTGCTATTATTGTTGTTGTTATTATTGTTGTTGAAATTGTTGTTGTTGTTGTTGTTGTAGTTATTGGCTGTTGTTGTCACACATCAACGCGCTTTGCTGGCAGCTGGGCCTGTTTGCATTTGTTGCTGCTCTTACCAATGTTGCTCGGCCGCCGTTAGCTGGTGTTGCAGCATCAGCCATGGCCATCATCAGAGTTATTGGCCTCGAAAAACTTGCAAATGCTAAAAAATACAGCAATAGACAACAAAAACAACGTCGAGCAAAGCCTGACCCAAGTTTTGTCGCGTGTTGATGCGCACAGAAATGTATTTAAAGTGGGGTTGGTGTTGCTGCTGGCATTGCAGTTGCTGCTGTTGCTGCTGCTGCTGCTGCTGTTGCTGCTACTATTGCTTTTGCTTTTGCTGGCGGACATTGCAACCTGTCGTCGATGACCTGCCAATGATGCTCCGCCAGCAGCAAAATCCATGGAAGCTGAGCACGTGAGGTGTAGGTTGAAGCATAGATATTAGATATTCAAGGGTTTTACTATAAAGTTATTCCAACATTAATTTGTTTCCAATTTGAATAAATATTAGTAGTAAAGTCATGAAAAAGTATAGTAAAGGAGCTCAAAGTTAAACCTTAAAATCTTCTTTAAGTCGTATAAATTCTACCTCAATCTTAACTTTGTCTACTTGCTTTGCTCTTAAAGATTCATCGCCCTTTGATTTGATTAAAAATTGATGATTGATGATAGGCTGAGAGTATCTGTTTTCTATTGAAAATAGAAAAAGGAAGCAACCATTCGTGACAGAAACTTTAGTCACGTGAGCAACTCTGTGGCCGAGAGGCAATCGATATGGAAGATACTGTGTGGTGTCAGCTTTGCTACCATGGCATTTTTTTCTTCTTATATTCTGAGCTGTTTTTTTGTTGATTGTGTTGTGGAAAATTCATTCGCCCTGTTGGCTTTTTTTGTTTTACCAATTTTTGTTGCTTTGGTCAGCAGCGTACGCAGCTGTTGCGGTCCATGCTGTTCCTGCTGTTGCTGCTGCTGCTGCTGCTGCTGTTGCAGTTGCTGCTGCTGCTGTTGTTGCAGTTGCTGCTGCTAGCTGATGCTGTTGGCTTAACTTGGGGCTGGCTTCGGCTTGGCTTAAATGCTTTTCAGTTGGCGGTTTTTTGCGGTCCTCACGGTGTCAAATGGTTTAAACGCGCCTCGCGACCCCCCCTTTGAATGGGTTATTGTATCGCAGATATATACGTATATATACATATATATCTATAAGTTCGCTGCTATCGCTGCCTGCCTGCAATGCGTTGACTCAGTGTGACACTTTTATGGACAAACTTAATTGCTTTTGGACGTGTCAGAAATACAGAAGGGGTGGCAATATCACTCGCCCAAGACTAATGGCCCGATGGCTGGTCATGGTGGCTACAGAAAAGTTTCTACTTAAACTAGAAAATCGGTTTATATTAAAGGTAATTGCGCCAGAGAGGCAAAAGAGAAACCCCTTCCTGATTGAATCAGTGCCAATAATTTGGCAATTTCTATTCGTCGCCATTGCACGGCCGGCATTGTGTCACCAGGAGCAGGAGCAGGAGCAGCAGGAGCAGCAGCATCGACAACAAACGGCCCCGCAAAAACATTATTCGACTCTACAGGATATTACATGCCATCAGGATGAGCAGCGGGGGGAATGAAAAGCGGATGGGGGTAGCAAAAGCGGAAATAAAAGGTTTCCCCGCCACTGTCGTCCTGATTTCCAAATGATGTCTCTCTGTATATATATATATATGTTATATATGTTGACTCTGGCCGAAAACGAATGTAACTTTTGCGATGATTTTTAGTGCCGCCGCGTTAGTTCGAGTTGACTTTTATTCTTTATCCCTATTTGTATTTGTGTTTGGCAAACACACGGCCATAAAAAACTTTTTAATATAGCTGGACGACACTGAAAAGTACAGGAAAAAAATGGGAGAAAATGGCACGGGACCAGTGACCAACAGCAGAAATGCCAGAAATTAGACACATTAAATATTCTGATACAGCTGTGATGGAGCCAAAGGGGTTTCGGTTTGGGCCTGGGTTACGGCGATTATGTGCTTTGTCACTGCAAACGTAGAGTCCTGGCCAAGACAACTGGCAAATGAGCAACCGGGGACCTAGTTTTATGGCCGGAGTGTGACCCTCGTTAAGGGGGAACAGCTCGAGATACAGGATGATGAACACCGAAAACTAAAATGGTTGAATTCACTTCCATAGTTTTGAATTTATAAAATTTTCCAAATATATTTTGTTAAAGATGATAGACATTTAGAAAACAATGTTTGCATTCTGCATATAAATGAAAGCAGATTATCCTTGATTAAAAATCTACAAGAGATTATCAGGATTGCTGAACTTCAAAGGTTTAAAAAATTGTACAACAAATGTTACACTATGTTTGGTAGCTACAAAATATAATTTCATAATTTCAGACACATATTAAAATGCTTTAAAAACCCAGATGATTTCTGAATCAACCTGGAATATAAGTTTTCGACAAATCCTAATTAAGTCAAAGACTATATATTTTTTTTAACTGCTAACAATTTCCTCTACTCTAATTTTACAAGGTTTTTTTAGAACTTGTTCTTTAGCTTTATATTTCAGTGCATTAGCTAAGTAGCCAAGGACATGGCGCTATGCATTTTGATCAGCAATTCGCTCAAGTAGTTGCTGGGGACTCACCTCTATTTCAGTGGGGGTGGTGATGGTGATGGTGGTGCCACCCCATTAATTATTCAGTTAGGAACCGCTCGTCATGCCAATTGTGGCACATTTAAGTTGCGGTTAATGTAATTACGAAAAGGGGACCGAAAAAGCAAAGCCAATATGACACACGAAACGCCCAACTAAGAGTCCTTTGGCTGCCATTAGTATTGAATGCCCTTTTTTAATACCCTTTTGCAGGGTACTAGAATTTTAGTCAGAAGCTTGTAACTATGTGAAGGAGTTATTTCCTACCCTATAAATCATATATATTCTGGATCAGAATTAGCAGGCGAATCTTTCTAGACATCTCTAGGCTAAAAATAAATTTTCAAAATTGTTGTCAAAATTTAAAAAAAAAGATAAGGGGTTACATCATTAAAATTTTTAAAAATTTGAATTTTCTAAAATTTTAAATTGAGTAAACAGATTTTTTAACGTAATAAAAACTAAGATAGTAACGATTTCCGAATTAAAATTAATGACTTTATGATTTAGTTATGAGTATTTTAAATTTTGATTTTTCATTTAAAAATATCAATTCAAAGAATGAAATATTTTTAGCCTAAGCTATAATTAAATTGCAAACTTCAAGGGTATATCAACTTCGTCTCCCCCAATTCAGTTTCCTTTCTTGTTTTTTTATTCTTTTTGGGACAAAGTCCCTCTCCCTGTCGAGAGCATAATAAATCGTTTTTCCCTCTTTGGCTTGACAATCTATTCGGGCTTTGAATTTAATGCGTTTTAGATAAGTTTCTAATGGAAGGAAATTAGTATTGAGCCGGGCAATTTATTCTCTCGACAGGGACTCTGGTCACTAAATTATAGTTAGTTTTATCGGACCACAGCACAGTACCTGTCTCAAATGGAAGATGCCTCTATCTACGAATTAACCCCATGCTCAGTCTCTGTTTTGGACTTGGGATCGCTATCGAGGTTAAAATGGGTCCAGTGCTCGTCATCATCATATTTGACACAAGTTGTCACGACCACTGCCAAGTTAGCTTCTCTTCCCCCCCTGAAAATTGAGATTTACGACTTACGACCCGGGCTAGAAAAATCATAGAAAAAAGAAGAGAAGAGAGACATACCTCTAACCATAAGCGAGATGGGGCTCCCCATACATATATAGAGATGTTGGCCAAACTGGCTCCACCGACAGATGTCCAACATCGCTCTGACATTGACTTACATACTCAAAAGTGACTCGTTGCGCCGGAAAATGCGGGGCTACCAACGGGCGAGGGGAGGCGTGGCACTCAAATCAAATATTTTCAGCGCTCTAAGTAGCTGAAATAACAAACGCTGATGATGCCAAAAGCTGATGCTGCTAATGCCACTGAGAAAAACAAGGCAACACGTTAAAACCAGAACTGTGTGGGGCTTTAAAAAAGCAAACAAAGCGCTCGGCCATAAAGCGAAATAAATTACTTAACGCGCCGCATTTTTTTCGCACTGGCCACGCAGCCAAAAATGCAATTAAAGGCCAAAAACCGCACCGAGACTGCGACATCTGCAGGAGATTAAAAAACGACACAGAGACCGGGCCAAAATAACACAGCAGCAACATTGGCATCAGCAGCAGCAACATCAGCGCAGCAGCAACATCAGCAGCAGCAGCAAAGCGATTCAGTGTGTAAATGATTGAGTTGGGTTTTGAGATTGTAGGGTGTGTAGAAGAGAAGGCATTACGAAATTACTAAGAATTTGGCAAAAATATAACGGCCTGAAGAAAATGTATATATTTTCATAAATTCATGTTAAAAGAGAGTTCATAGTAATGGCTAAAGGTTTCTTAAAAGCTCAAAATATAATATTTGATATTTTTTAGAATCAAAACATACAAAAATATTGTAGTAATATTAACAAATTTCTAATCAAAAATTCACATAGTAAATACAGCATGTTTTAAGTGAATGATACATAATGATTTAATATGAAAATTTATCTCAAATGTATCCCCAAAAATGTCGGAATTTGTTAAGGAATTTGTGAAACTAAAAAGAATTCTTATTCAATCGTTTCTTAATTTTCAAACTAAAGCTATATGCTAAAGAATATGCTTCTAAATTATTTCAAATTTAGAAGTATGATAAATAGCAAATGATTTTTTTAATTTTAGGTCAAAACAGATGCATTCTTTCCTAATTCAAAATACTTTCAAGGCAGACAGAAGCTAAATAAGCTTTAAGGGTTTGAATATTTAATATGAAGAGTTACATAAAGCTAAAACCTCATTTGAAAATATAATATAAAAATTAAATATTCCTGTAAATATAGCTCAAATTCATCAGGAGCATCCAAATGCTTTCCAATTTCATATATAAAATTATAATTATAAAATTATCAAGTAATATTTAAAACCAAAATCCCTCAAAAATGAATTTTCGCGTAGCGCATTCATCTGCCCCCGAAGCTGTAATGCCAACACAGATTACGCTAACGATTTTTAATGTGGATTTGCACCAAGCGGGGCTGTGGATTTTGGATTTCAGAGTGTGAAGGAGAGAGAATTGTGGTGTTTTGTTGAGGGGGCCACCATCGTCCTTTGCCCTTCGTCCTTGGTCAGTGGGAAAAGTCCATGCATAGACTAGCAGAGTGTCCGAGATATAGCTGTCAATTTCGAGGATGGCTTTTGAAACAAAATAACGTCATCGTGGGATGGGGACATCATGGAACTAGGAACTGGACCAGACCCAGAAAGACCCGCAGATGAGCTCCCGATGAGTTGAGTGACTGCGACAATGGTATCCTACGAATGACTCTGATGATGCAGCCAGTTGCCTTGATTGGGGCATAGTGGGATATATATACAGGGGAATGCCGGGGCATACAGGGTGCGGTGTCATTTGGCGAGCTAAATACCACAAATTGCGCTGCATGGCAGCAATTACAAAAAGTACTAATCATGGCGACATGTCTTTCAGCGAAATCAAGCCAAGCCACAGGCCAATAGCAGACTTCAGCAGAACACACAGACTGGTCTCTGGGAATTTTGTCAAAAAACTTTTGTATTACATTTAAAGGGTATTTCGAAATCAAGAATATTGAGTTTAGGGGGTTTAAAATAAAATAAATAAATAACAAATATTTGCAATATCGAAATATCTAAAATAACAGGAAAACAAATTAACTTTGGCAAGCAGAATTGTGTACATACAGTTTGCAATAGTATCAGGGAATCGAGTTGAAAATTTAACCCGAAAAACATCATTATTTTCATTAGGTTACTAAACCAGTTTTTATAGGATAAATATCAAGACTATCTATAAATTATAAGACTTGAAAATGACTCCCTCAGGCTGCTAGCTTCTATCTGAACTTAAAACATTCTGCAACGTTATAATAAAAGCATTAATATGACATTCTTTAGATGAATTCTTTATACTGATTCCTTATATGAATTCTTTATATGAATCTGATTTTTTTGAACACTAATTGTCTCTCCAACAGGGTATTCTCAAAGTCTACCCTCAATTGCTATTCATTTGTTTTGAATTCACTCTTTTCATAGCAATTTTCGCACATTTTTTTCTCGTTCTCGTTAACGTCTCGCTTTGCCATTCGGCATTTGGCATTCGTCATTCGTCATTCGCCATTTGGATGCAATTATACACTTAGGAATTGACCACCAATGAGACGAGTATCGATTTGACGAATTTGGATGCGAATGCCTTGTACCGCATTACGGTTGTGACGCGGGGCAAATTTGGCACATCGCTGCCGGCATCGATGCTGCTGCTAAACACCACGGACCAGCATCGGACCACCGAAGGTGAGTTGGCCAACTAACTCTATACTCCATAATGAGTTGATTTAATTGTTGTGCGGTCTCTTTGTGTGTTCGTGTGTGTGTTTGCAGGAGAGGGTGTGACCTGGGGTGCCCCATCGCCACCACACTCGCTGACAGTGGTGGCACACAGTGCCACCTGGATGCAGCTCACTTGGCAGCCGCCCGAGTATGCCCATCCCCATGAGAGGATTACCTACAGGTGAGTTTTCCTTTTTTTTTTTACCAAATATTATTAATTCATACAGGTATTAAATTGATAATACAAAACGAAAGGAAATCAGCTTCGGAAAGACGCGACTTAAAATTTGCCATTAAAATCTTGAATAGAATTGGAAATCGATAATTTTTTGAATTAATATTTATAGATATACTTAGACGACAGTTCAAAATCTCATAACTAAGCCAAAAAATCATTAATTTGAATTCGAAACGCTGTTCAATGTTAGTGCTTGTAAGGTTTATTAATCTGCATACTTTATTTAAAATTTGAAAAACTTCAATAATTTGTAATGTTTTGGAAATTTTAACGATGTAACCCCTTATAAAACGTTCAATTTTCGAAAAAAGTCCGAAAATTTATTTTTCATTCGGACATGGCTAGATTGATTCAGTTTTTGATGCTGATCAAGAATATATATGGTTTATAGGGTCGGAAATGACTTCTTCACAGTATTACAAGCTTCTGATTTAAACTATACCCACCAAAAAGGTATAAAAACAGACAATTTTTTGTGAAAAATCAAAGTTTTCCGGACATCATAATTCAGCCAAAATTGCATTAATTTTGAATCGGAAAGCTTTTCTGTGCTAGTTTTTATTGCACTAACAAATCTGCATACTGCGTTTGTTGATGCTATTGTCAGTTTTTAATAAAATTATAAGATCCTGCAAAAAGGTATAAAAACAGACAATTTTGTCCAAAAATCATAGTTTTAAAAACTCATAACTAAGCCAAAAAACCATTAATTTTAATTCGGAGAGCAGAAATATGCTAGTTTTTACTTGATTAACAAATCTGCATACCGGGTTTTCAAATTTAAAAAATTCAATTTATTGTCAAATTTTGACAATTTTAATGATGTAACCCCTTATAAAACGTTCAATTTTCGAAAAAAGTCCGAAAATGTATTTTTCATCCGGACATGGCTAGATTGATTCAGTTTTTGATGCTGATCAAGAATATATATGGTTTATAGGGTCGGAAATGACTCCTTCACAGTATTACAAGCTTCTGATTTAAACTATACCCACCAAAAAGGTATAAAAACAGACAATTTTTGTGAAAAATCAAAGTTTTCCGGACATCATAATTCAGCCAAAATTGCATTAATTTTGAATCGGAAAGCTTTTCTGTGCTAGTTTTTATTGCACTAACAAATCTGCATACTGCGTTTGTTGATGCTATTGTCAGTTTTTAATAAAATTATAAGATCCTGCAAAAAGGTATAAAAACAGACAATTTTGTCCAAAAATCATAGTTTTAAAAACTCATAACTAAGCCAAAAAACCATTAATTTTAATTCGGAGAGCAGAAATATGCTAGTTTTTACTTGATTAACAAATCTGCATACCGGGTTTTCAAATTTAAAAAATTCAATTTATTGTCAAATTTTGACAATTTTAATGATGTAACCCCTTATAAAACGTTCAATTTTCGAAAAAAGTCCGAAAATGTATTTTTCATCCGGACATGGCTAGATTGATTCAGTTTTTGATGCTGATCAAGAATATATATGGTTTATAGGGTCGGAAATGACTCCTTCACAGTATTACAAGCTTCTGATTTAAACTATACCCACCAAAAAGGTATAAAAACAGACAATTTTTTGTGAAAAATCAAAGTTTTCCGGACATCATAATTCAGCCAAAATTGCATTAATTTTGAATCGGAAAGCTTTTCTGTGCTAGTTTTTATTGTACTAACAAATCTGCATACTGCGTTTGTTGATGCTATTGTCAGTTTTTTAATAAAATTATAAGATCCTGCAAAAAGGTATAAAAACAGACAATTTTGTCCAAAAATCATAGTTTTAAAAACTCATAACTAAGCCAAAAAACCATTAATTTTAATTCGGAGAGCAGAAATATGCTAGTTTTTACTTGATTAACAAATCTGCATACCGGGTTTTCAAATTTAAAAAATTCAATTTATTGTCAAATTTTGACAATTTTAATGATGTAACCCCTTATAAAACGTTCAATTTTCGAAAAAAGTCCGAAAATGTATTTTTCATCCGGACATGGCTAGATTGATTCAGTTTTTGATGCTGATCAAGAATATATATGGTTTATAGGGTCGGAAATGACTCCTTCACAGTATTACAAGCTTCTGATTTAAACTATACCCACCAAAAAGGTATAAAAACAGACAATTTTTTGTGAAAAATCAAAGTTTTCCGGACATCATAATTCAGCCAAAATTGCATTAATTTTGAATCGGAAAGCTTTTCTGTGCTAGTTTTTATTGCACTAACAAATCTGCATACTGCGTTTGTTGATGCTATTGTCAGTTTTTTAATAAAATTATAAGATCCTGCAAAAAGGTATAAAAACAGACAATTTTGTCCAAAAATCATAGTTTTAAAAACTCATAACTAAGCCAAAAAACCATTAATTTTAATTCGGAGAGCAGATATATGCTAGTTTTTACTTGATTAACAAATCTGCATACCGGGTTTTCAAATTTAAAAAATTCAATTTATTGTCAAATTTTGACAATTTTAATGATGTAACCCCTTATAAAATTTTCAATTTTCGAAAAAAGTCCGAAAATTTATTTTTCATCCGGACATGGCTAGATTGATTCAGTTTTTGATGCTGATCAAGAATATATATGGTTTATAGGGTCGGAAATGACTCCTTCACAGTATTACAAGCTTCTGATTTAAACTATACCCCCAAAAAGGTATAAAAACAGACCATTTTTGTGAAAAATCAAAGTTTTCCGGACATCATAATTCAGCCAAAATTGCATTAATTTTGAATCGGAAAGCTTTTCTGTGCTAGTTTTTATTGTACTAACAAATCTGCATACTGCGTTTATTTTAATGATGCAACCCCTTATAAAATTTTCAATTTTCGAAAAAAGTCCGAAAATTTATTTTTCATCCGGACATGGCTAGATTGATTCAGTTTTTGATGCTGATCAAGAATATATATGGTTTATAGGGTCGGAAATGACTCCTTCACAGTATTACAAGCTTCTGATTTAAACTATACCCCCCAAAAAGGTATAAAAACAGACCATTTTTTGTGAAAAATCAAAGTTTTCCGGACATCATAATTCAGCCAAAATTGCATTAATTTGAATCGGAAAGCTTTTCTGTGCTAGTTTTTATTGTACTAACAAATCTGCATACTGCGTTTATTTTAATGATGCAACCCCTTATAAAATTTTCAATTTTCGAAAAAAGTCCGAAAATTTATTTTTCATCCGGACATGGCTAGATTGATTCAGTTTTTGATGCTGATCAAGAATATTGCATTAATTTTGAATCGGAAAGCTTTTCTGTGCTAGTTTTTATTGCACTAACAAATCTGCATACTGCGTTTGTTGATGCTATTGTCAGTTTTTAATAAAATTATAAGATCCTGCAAAAAGGTATAAAAACAGACAATTTTGTCCAAAAATCATAGTTTTAAAAACTCATAACTAAGCCAAAAAACCATTAATTTTAATTCGGAGAGCAGATATATGCTAGTTTTTACTTGATTAACAAATCTGCATACCGGGTTTTCAAATTTAAAAAATTCAAATTATTGTCAAATTTTGACAATTTTAATGATGTAACCCCTTATAAAATTTTCAATTTTCGAAAAAAGTCCGAAAATTTATTTTTTCATCCGGACATGGCTAGATTGATTCAGTTTTTGATGCTGATCAAGAATATATATGGTTTATAGGGTCGGAAATGACTCCTTCACAGTATTACAAGCTTCTGATTTAAACTATACCCACCAAAAAGGTATAAAAACAGACAATTTTTGTGAAAAATCAAAGTTTTCCGGACATCATAATTCAGCCAAAATTGCATTAATTTTGAATCGGAAAGCTTTTCTGTGCTAGTTTTATTGCACTAACAAATCTGCATACTGCGTTTGTTGATGCTATTGTCAGTTTTTTAATAAAATTATAAGATCCTGCAAAAAGGTATAAAAACAGACAATTTTGTCCAAAAATCATAGTTTTAAAAACTCATAACTAAGCCAAAAAACCATTAATTTTAATTCGGAGAGCAGATATATGCTAGTTTTTACTTGATTAACAAATCTGCATACCGGGTTTTCAAATTTAAAAAATTCAATTTATTGTCAAATTTTGACAATTTTAATGATGTAACCCCTTATAAAATTTCAATTTTCGAAAAAAGTCCGAAAATTTATTTTTCATCCGGACATGGCTAGATTGATTCAGTTTTTGATGCTGATCAAGAATATATATGGTTATAGGGTCGGAAATGACTCCTTCACAGTATTACAAGCTTCTGATTTAAACTATACCCACCAAAAAGGTATAAAAACAGACAATTTTTTGTGAAAAATCAAAGTTTTCCGGACATCATAATTCAGCCAAAATTGCATTAATTTTGAATCGGAAAGCTTTTCTGTGCTAGTTTTTATTGTACTAACAAATCTGCATACTGCGTTTGTTGATGCTATTGTCAGTTTTTTAATAAAATTATAAGATCCTGCAAAAAGGTATAAAAACAGACAATTTTGTCCAAAAATCATAGTTTTAAAAACTCATAACAAATCTGCATACCGGGTTTTCAAATTTAAAAAATTCAATTTATTGTCAAATTTTTTGACAATTTTAATGATGTAACCCCTTATAAAATTTTCAATTTTCGAAAAAAGTCCGAAAATTTATTTTCATCCGGACATGGCTAGATTGATTCAGTTTTTGATGCTGATCAAGAATATATATGGTTTATAGGGTCGGAAATGACTCCTTCACAGTATTACAAGCTTCTGATTTAAACTATACCCCCAAAAAGGTATAAAAACAGACCATTTTTTGTGAAAAATCAAAGTTTTCCGGACATCATAATTCAGCCAAAATTGCATTAATTTTGAATCGGAAAGCTTTTCTGTGCTAGTTTTTATTGTACTAACAAATCTGCATACTGCGTTTATTTTAATGATGCAACCCCTTATAAAATTTTCAATTTTCGAAAAAAGTCCGAAAATGTATTTTTCATCC